TTCACAAACCTTAATATGCTTATGAATTGCCTGGAATCTTGGTAAAATGCAGGTTCTTATTCAGTAAGTCTGGGCTTGGCCCAGAGTCTACATTTCTAGCAGGTGATTCCGGTCCATAGACTATGCTTTGAATAGCACCGCCTTCTATCATCAGAAATCACCAGCATGGAAACCCCTTCCTGAGGTTTTCCAATTTCAGGTAGGATTAATCCCTATGGCATGTAAGTAGTTCTCTACCCAATAGTGGATCCAATCCACAACTGACAAGTTTAAGTACATTGGAAATGTTCCTCCAGTTGTATCAGTGTTTTACTTCTGTATAAGTCATCAGGTTCATCACGCTGCTGATGATATTAGAAGATTGAAACCTAATTAGAAAATGTGGTGATGGGTTTGTCACATAGAATTAGATTTTTATTTTAGAAGGGTCGTTGAAGCCACCCTCTCATTTTACAGTTCCAGAAGCTGAGGCACAGGGCGCTGTGTGACTGGACCACAGTCACACAACATGTTGACAGCAGCCAGACTAAAATCTAGTCACACTTACACAGTCCTCATGCTGTCTGTCCAGTCACTTCCTATATTTCTCTTTGTCTAAAGTGATCTGACTCATAGCTGCTAAATCCTATAGATCATTGAAGTCCTAAGTGGCAGATGATGAAGCTCAAAAAATACATATGATAGCATGATTGTATCTTGTCCTTTTGTAAATTAGTGTCCAGCTCTCTTATCAGTAGAATTAGCCTTTAAATATCCATTAGAAGGAAAAAGAAATACTAAACCCTGTCTTATTAGCATCCCCTATCTTGGATGTTTAATCCACATTTTGCTTTATCCTTCTTCTGGACTCCTATTTATTGCAATAGAACAGTTTAGGTTCGAATGAATATTCTTTAAAATTGCCCCCAAATAAAAATTAATTTCATATAGTGTGGATGAGAAGATTACTAACCATGTTTTAAGTGAGTGATGTATTTATTTGGGGAGATGAAAGGATTATATTCAGATAAATTCATCATAACTAAGTAGCAAAATGGAAAGCCTTGTAAGACCCTTAATTGAGGCCATCCTCACAGAAAGGTTAGCCATAAAATAAGTAATTTCACATCCGCAGCATCAAAATTCACTTCAGAGTGAAGCATAGTAACCTCCATCTTGGGTAAAAACTGCTGTTTCAAATTTTAACCCTGATATTCTGGCTTCTGTAAACATTTGCTTGTTTAAATAATAGGGTAGTTAGCCTAAGTGACTCCATTTTGACCTCTGTTTCCAGAATAAGACCTGGAAACTCACATAAATCACCCCATTTTGTTGCCGGCCCCCTTGTGGTTTTACAAAGGCTATTGTCCTTGCCTGAGAACCAGAGCCCCAAAAATGCTTTCCCTTGACTCAGTGGCTCCAGGAACTGAAACTATAGATAACCTTTAGAGATAGGTAACTTTGCTCAATTTGGCTTCTGTACAAACTGCTTTCACAAGGTAGTTCCACATTCCAACATCTAGCAGGATGTGGTTTTTGCCTTTATAAGCTTGCTGCTGTACTCACTCAGGACTTCGAGATTTGGAGAGAGCTAATGCCCCCTTGTAGCTGCTAGCTTTTGAATTGAAGACTCCTTGATTTGATTCCGTGACTGAAGCGTCCTGTGTTCGACTCGCGGGGTCCATTACAACAAGAGTTCATCAGCAATTTTCATACCTGATTGGTGAGTGAAAGGTGAGTGTCCCAAATGTCCTTTCCATTCCTCAGGAATTAAAAAAAAACATGAGAGTAAATAAAGTTTCCTGGCCTCTGAGATCCCACCCAGTGCAAGGGTAGAATGAGATGAGCGAAGGGAGTGGGCGAGTAAAAGCGTTTGTAACAAAAGCCCATTACTTACAGAGGAGAAATTTATATTGTCAGCGTAATATCTGTGGGGCTCAGCAGCGCTAGAGAGTATATAAAAGCAGTGCGCTTTGGTGCAGAAGTACAGAGCTCAGGACACAGCTCATCTCCAGTTCCAAAGAGGGCTCGCTCTCTCTCCACCTGCTCTATTCTATGCCTGATATCAGAAGGTAAGATTCCTATTGAGTGATTGTAAGACTGTCTATTCTGATTTGTTTATAGTTAAGTATTTTTAAGGGGATAAAGTAAGAATTCTAATGTTGTTCTTTCATCTTATACTTTTCACTAATAATACACAGGGTAGAATTGAGTTGAAAAAAGTGATACAAAATATATTTACATAAACGTCAACACAGTGAAGCCGCAAAATGAGTCGGAAAACTAATTCACTAAAAAGATATGAGGTTGAAAGAAAAACAAAGATTCAAATCAATGAACTTGATATAAGACTTAACTGTTATGAGAATTGTGTTTTTAAAATAACGGTAACATTTTAAGTATATAAATATTTTCCTTAGATTTGATTAATGTGTCTATCACTTTGAACAGAAGGCCCCTTTTACAATCAGCAGAAATGTGTCCATTAGAGAGGCTATAATAGCAATTGCTCCTTACCAGTGAAAATTTATCATTTTCTAAAAGAGAAGAATCAACATCATCTTTCAAATATTCAAATTTCTGATAACTCTATCAAAAACTCAAAGTCCATGAAATCAGCTGTTTGTAAATAAGACAGCACATTTGGTGCAGTAAACTAATCAATTATTGGAAATTGTTTGAATGGAGCTGAGAGAAACCGCCTATTAATAATTGTCTACTATGTATTCAGGGGCAATAGGAATAAATAAAATGTCTAAAATGCCCACAATATGAAATATAATGTTAGTAAATCTATATAGAAACAAAATCAGATGCTCTAAAATACCTATTTAAGCCCTTGGGGACAAAGAATAAGTTTACAAAGATCCTCAATGGAGTAAATGATCAAGTGGTGTGTTTTCCTACACATACCAAGGACCTATGAGAAGAAATAAGCTGATCAGTTTTAAAAAGTATGTATTTGACCTACAACACCAATACATTTAGAGATATTATATAATGCCACCTTTCTTATGTCTAAGATTAATTTTCTAAAAGACTTCCTACACAGATAATGCTAGTGTTCCCATATTTTCCCTTTAAATTTGAGTGGAAATGTGTGGTTTTTACAAAAGTACACATTCTCTCCTTAGGCTATCTGAAGGATGTGGAGGGGAGTAATTGGAAATTCTTCTATTATTGAATAAGATTTTGAATCTAAAATAATATAAACATTTGCTTCCTCAGTAGTGGCATTCAAACAATTAAACTTATTCTCAAAGTTTTTCACAATTCTATAAACTTAAAAATGAACAAATGAAATTTTAAAAATCAGTTTCTCTCTCAGTAGAACTCAACTCACTGCCTGTAGAAGTCTTGGATCATTCACTACTGTTTCCCCCTCCAATGGCTCCCATAGCAGCAGAACAGCACATGCTTTAAATCTCCCTCCATATAGAATATAGTGAAGATTTTGTAAAACCTTTAGGGACTTTGCATAGAAGAAATTACTTGGGACTCGTTGTTTTTGCAACAGTGGTGTAATTCTAAAATAAATCTTTGATTTTTTTTAATTCCGGAAGGCATGAATTTATAATTGAGATGTATAATCAGAAGACACTACCTACATATATGGCAACATTTCAAAGTTTACGACTAGATCAACCGAAGCATAGCAAAATGCCAAATTAGTAATTTCATGTTGATGAATGAAGAAGGGAGAATATGTAATTACTATTATGTTGCTTTGTTTAACTAACTACTTAATCTAAAGAGACTTAAATTTCAAAGAAAAAAAATACCACTGCTGGTATTCCAGTCTCCATGTTTTAGTGCCAAAGCTAGACAGTAAATATGGCTAGGATGTTAAAGAAAAGATTGATAGTTTGAAATGATAATATTTTTAAAATCCTTATCAAACCAAATGCCATTTGCTAAAAATACTCATTCAAATTATTTATGGATAAACATAATCAAACTTGGATTGAAATCCCCACATCTCACAGAAACATGGTGGGACTTGAGTAGTAGAGAGAATCCATGACAAATGCTGGACTTGAGGTTTCTATTCAGAAAATAGAGGAGCTTGCCCTGTGGGGATCTTCTGCCCCAAATTCATTTTAGTTCCCACCTTACACACTGCCTCATCATGCCTTTGGCCTCCTGTGGCTTCATGGGGCATCTGCTTGTGGTACAAGGACAAGCAACCAGGTGTATCCCACAACTAGGCCTAGGGTGTTACAAGCAGTGAATGACAAATCTTGGACTAAGTCCAATTATGAAACAACCTGGGGACTTCTGAGACTTCAGAAACAGGCATTAATTTCCATTATGGCAGTGATCTCTTGAGTTTCTTACTTGTTCAAGTTGCCAGAAGCATTTGTTCTTGTTGCAAATTGCTTGTCTTTAAAACCATTTTTTCCCTTTAATTTAGAACAGGTCAAAGCACCCTAAAATACCTCACCTCTGTTGGCTGCTTTATAATTACAAAGTCGAGACCAAGTTATACTATTTAAAATATAAATGAATAATACATCTGAACCGAGAGCTGGTATGCCAAGTTGTAGCCCAAGGCTGCTTTAAGATGGTTGAAATGCAGTATAATGTAAATGCTTGAAAGTGAAAGACTATTAATTCAAAGCCAGACTGATAGTGAAGGGGGTGGCATTATGGATAAGGTGACATTCAGGCTAACCATATGTAGCATATCATCTACAGTGGGTATCTTAAATGTTTATCATTGACATTTTTAATTCTAAATCTGAAAAGGAGCCTTCTAATTATTAACAGAAGTGTCCTACATTAATGAAAAACCTTAAAGGTGGTACACATTTTTTAAATTCTTTTTTTTTTTGCCACCAAAAAAGAAATCTGGGGGAAAATATAATCTACTTTTAAAAATATACTAAAAATAAAGTAGAATTTTTTAATAATATTTACTTTATCATAATTAAATCAATTGAGCCTGACATGTTTAAATATGGTTGCCTTTCTCCCTCCCCCAACCTCTCCCACTCTCTGTGCACCAACAGGCAGCAAACATGAAAAGCATTTACTTTGTGGCTGCATTATTTGTGATGCTGGTCCAAGGCAGCTGGGAACGTTCCCTACAGGACACAGAGGAGAAGTCCAGGTATTCCCTTTTTTGACTTGAACAAACATAGCACGATGGTTATAATACAGTCTGTGAAAACTATAATTTGTGAAGCGGTCTCAGTAACTGAGAGTAAACACTCAGTACAATTTTAAAAAGTTTAAAATATCATTGTGATAAAGCTTTTTCTTGAGTATAGATCAGAGTATGGTGTTTCAAAACCAAAGGAGTAGGTTATGTTGGAAAATGTGTTACATGGGAAATTATAGCTTGTTGAAATCTTCAGCTGATCCTATCTATCCATTCACTACTCACACACTGCATAGTAGATTATTTTAATTATTCACACCAACTTTTTCTTTTTTGTTCCTTTTTTAAAAATAACACTGTTTTTTACTAATTGTAAAAGTCATACATGCTCATGATACAAAATATGCACAAAATGTTATGTAAGTACTGTATATAGCATATATCTCAGATGATTATACAGCTTCATATTATGCCTTTTATCTTAGCATTGTATTCTTAGCTCTTTCGTATAGCATTACAAATACCTATTAAATGTACGATATTTAATAGCTGCATACTATTTCATCTCATCAGTGTACAATATTTATTTAGCTATTCCTCTTCTATTGAACACTTGAGTTCTTACATTTTCCTACAAAGAATGCTACAAATAACTTTTCTCCCTACATTTTTTTTACTCTTCCCTGAGGCTAGATTTTTGGTTCTAAAATTACTGTGTCAAAGGGTTTGAATAAGTTTAAGTATTTTATAATATCTTGCCTGCTTGCTTTCCAAAAAAGTCATACACATGCACACTCCGCTCAGCCTTACAGAAATACTCCTTTCATAATACCTTCCCCCATATTTAGTCTTTGCTATTTTGACAGGTCAGAATAGTATCTCAATTTTATTTCTGAGTATTAATACTATTGAATATTTCTCCATATTTGCCATGGCAAACAACTGTTGATTACTGGCATGTGGACTGTCCACCACACAGTTTAAAATTAGCAAGTGGGATTTTTCTTGGCATTCTTTAAAATTTTAATTGTCTTTCTCTTTCATCATCAGCTATCATGTAACCAGGTAATGGAGCTACATTTTTATATTGGCACATGCAAACAAAATTCAGAACTCAGATCAGCTGCCCAAATGATTTGAGATCCTTCACTTTTTTAAAATAGTCAAGCCATTGCTCTCTTCTATCATTACTAGCAGAATCATAAGTACATTAATTACTTAAAAAAACTATTTATTTAATCTTATTTCAGTAAAGAGGAAGCCAGTTAAAAATCTGCTCCCAGGATTTAGAATCAGAGTGCATTCAACTCTAACAAAACTCTGAGATTCCCGTGGCAAACAAGGTGTCCCTCATATCAACTGAAATGCTCAAGGCAACTGCCTTTCAATTTCCTGTGGTCTTGTGTTTTCAAGGTGCTTCTTGAGTGAGTCCACTCAAGAAGAGACTTTGTTGCACCAATCACCTTTCTTCGCAGCTCGTTCCCAGCTCCACGGACAGACTCGCTCAATGATCTGCATCAGATACATAAAGAGAAGCGCCAGGAAAGGAGGTATCCCTTCGGTGGAAAGAGAGGAAGGGTCATCACTGATTTTCACCAGTTTGGGAATTCCGAGTGTCTCGAGGATTTCTTTTCATGGCTGACGCGGCACCAAATGTGAGCATCTAAACCTAGCCCCAAATTTGCACACAAATGTGTTACGTAAATATGTTTAAAATATCTCCTGACTTTCATTATGTTATTATGCTCATCAAATAGGGCGTATAAGCTCTTTCAGCTTTGATGTTTTCAAGGTTGGTGATGCTATCCTGCATATTATGCCTCTGAAAGTCCCACCTCTCACCCTGACAATGCCTTACCCACCCTGTAATGACACGTAGATTTTAAATCATTTTCCCCACTGTGGTCTTAGCAATATTTACTCTCTTACCCATTTTCTATTAAAATTGAAAGCTGACTTTTTAGACATGAACTGTGAGGAATCTATTTTTTGACCAAAAGATAAGAGCAAATTCAACATTCCCTTGTAGGGTTCAAACTCATGACTGTAATCACATTTAAAGTAACCCCTAGCCAAGGTAATCGTGGTAAGGAATGGAAAGAGATGCAGTCATTTTCTTGTAGAATACAATCCAAGATACACATTTAAAATTATAGCCTGGCTGCACCACATAAAGAGAGAAGAAGGCAAATAAGAGCAAAAGCCCTCTGTAAGGCATACATTTTATTTTATTTTATTTATTTTTTTAAAAAAATATATTTTATTGATTTTTTACAGAGAGGAAAGGAGAGAGATAGAGAGTTAGAAACATCGATGAGAGAGAAACATCGATCAGCTGCCTCCTGCACATCTCCCACTGGGGATGTGCCCGCAACCCAGGTACATGCCCTTGACCGGAATCGAACCTGGGACCTTTCAGTCTGCAGGCCGACGCTCTATCCACCGAGCCAAACCGGTTTCGGCAAGGCATACATTTTAATGTTGGATTTTCGTTGACAGTGTTGGGTTTTACAGTGCATGTAGGCTACTGGGGGAAATCTTTCACAAGGGTTTCACCGAGAGGGTGGAATTTCACAATTTCTTTGGAGAGTGGCCCACAAGGGAAGGGAGTTGTGCATCCAAAGTAGCTGAAGAAATCTAAATATCAGGATAAGGACATAGATTTGCCTGGAAAGAGAGAGAGAGAGAGAGAGAGAGAGAGAGAGAGAGAGAGAGAGAGAGGAGAGAGAGAGAGAATTAATGAATATGGGTCAGCTGGAAAAATTGGAGAGACAGAGTGGTATACCAAAAGTTGTTCAAGTGGAGGGCATGACAGGAAAGATGGTGGTCATGGTCAGAGCAGACACTGGGAGAAGTCCCTGTTAGTGACTACAGACATGGCCATTGGTGAAATAAGAGAAATTTGGAAAAAAAGAAAACAATTATCCTCATTTCTGGAAAGGGAATGCTACAATTTGGTAATATAATGTAAAATAATCCTCACTCTCAGGCGGTTTCTGTTGTGTGTTTAAGATGAGACCTTCCAGGGTAATAGATGCGGGAGGGCAGCTGGTCAACCACCTACACAGATCACATTTGAGGATGATGTGGAGTCAGCATCTTAGCTTTCCTCACTGCTGTCCCATCACATGTTTCCTTTCATCCATTATCACGTGGTTCTTTTGATGACATTTTGAGATGGTCCCTAGCTTTCCCTTGACTCACTTAACTATGTCTGATCCCATAAGTATTAACAAACAGCTGCCTTGTCTGCAAGCTGCATAACATATTGGAGAGTCCACATACACTGAGGCAGAAGTAAATGCAACAGTAACAATCAATGGCAGGGATAAGCAGAAGAGGTGGAAATGGGTGTGCTGAGTGGGCCAATGCTCCCCTTAACTGCTATTATCTCTCGCCCATCAACCGTCCGTTCAGATACTTCATGTAGTTTCAGGACGAGTCTCCTAACTACCCTCATCTCCTAAATCTCCCTCAGTCTCTTCAACCCCAAGCTGCCACTACTTCCAGGTGAGAACCATATTGCTAAAGAGTCAGATCTTCAATATACTGTTCACATTTCTATCAGGAATGGCATTGCCAAACGTCATGATGAATTTGAGAGACACACTGAAGGGACCTTTACCAGCAATTTAAGTTCTTATTTGGAAGGCCAAGCTGCCAAGGAATTCATTGCTTGGCTAGTGAAAGGCCTAGGAAGGCAAGAGTTAAGTCTGTACACTCTTATTTAACTTTATTTTTTATTTTTGCATGATGTTGAAAACTTACACTACAGTTATCCATTTATTGACTTGAGTTATAGAAGCAATTAGTATAGTCTCGCAAAGTAAGGAAATAAGTCCTATTGGTGGGAGACAATCTACAAGAGTTTAATGTTTTATCTGTAGTAGCAAGTATTAATGATAGAGTCAGACAGGTGGTATTTTTATCCCACATTAGAGTTGTGTTATAATGAGGCTATTCATTTGTCAATCCAAGACACGTTTGAGAAGAGGGTGCTATTGAGAAATACATCAGGATGATAAGCTTAAACTAGAAAAACTAGGGATGAGGAAAAAAGAAATAATGCTGAAAAATTAAAGTTTGACTTTAAGTATTTACATATAGGATCAACATATATTTGTGTTAATGTTTAGCTAATAAACTGATAAAGACTGAAAGGTATTAAACTTAAGATGTTTAATGAAATGACACTCAAAATATAAATATTTTGAGTGCAAACATCCATATATTTAACAACATCCCCATTTTTGATGGGACTGTCCTATAAATAGCCATTAAAGTTTCACAGCTGAAAATGAGACTAAGCCCGTTAGGTACCTTCTTGGATCTTACCACAACCAAACAGACCCCTGGACCGTCTCATTTTCTCTTGACCATTTTGATTGACATTTGAATTATGAGAAGCGGGAAATTCATGTTCAACTCATTTTTTTGTGAAATTTAAAGCAAGCTTACTGAGACTTGGAGAAATCTTAAGACAAAAGGGATTGTATTACTATTTAGCTAATAACCTGATATTGTCACTGCTTTTTTAAACATTGATGACCCAATTTACAAAATCAGTGGTAAAATAGTTGCTTATACTTGAGGATATTTTATGATATTTTAAAGGGGTGCCAAAATGCTGCCAATTAAACTAATAAAGACAGAAAATCTAATATAAAGTTTAATCCCTTAATACTGCAAGGCTGTTCTGATAACCACTAGTTTTACATTTTTCTGAATTTTAAACTGACTAATAGTCTCAATAATAACTTCTGTGTTGCTAATATATAAAATCTCTGGAGCAGCTGGACCACTGCAGAAGGCATGAAGTTTTACAGGCTGGGTTTCCCGTCCTGCTCTGCTCTTCACTACCTCCAGATTGTCCATTCTGACACGCACCAGTTCATGCAGGTTCCCACAGTCGGCCCCCTGTAAATATGACATCCTGTTTTCTCAGTGACCCGCACACGTTACCAGTGATACGCAATGAGAAAGCCTGTATATAAAGCATTTAACCAAATACCGATTTTTATCCCCCTTGTCCTCAGCTCCCTAGTAGTGTTTCCTGATATGGACCGCCGCAGACATGCCGATGGCTCTTTCTCTGATGAAATGAACACAGGAATCTTGCCACCCTGGAATTTATAACTGGCTGCTGCAAAACAAAATTACCGACAGGTGATTGCATTTTAGTGCATTCTGAGAACCATCAAAACTTTCATAAATAGCGACAGGTTGTTCCTTGTGTGAGGAGGGGAGTCTTTGCTCTCTTGGTAGATAAGCAAAAGTATGACTCATTTAAGAATACATCATTATATTTGTTTTAGATAATTACACATTTACTCATTCACCCACTTACTCCAAAAATATTTCCGGAGTGTCAATTAAGGGACAGGGCACTAGGAACACAGATAAGAATGAAACATGGAAATATACAGCATTCACGTGATAATGTGACATTCTATATTGCTATGTATTTTGAATTTTTAGCACAAATAAATTTGGTATTATATACTTAATGTAATAAGGATAATAATAAAAATCTAAACACCAAAAGTAACCACTTATCTTGGTGGGTTATAATGGCTTTTTATAACTATTTATACACTTTATATTCCTTGACCGGGGAACTTTAGGATGTCATCTTTGAGTGCAAATATTTGAAAAGTTAAAAAGACTATGGGATTCATAAGACAAAATGATCAATAAATAACTTTTACCCAAATAAATCTTTAAAATATTTCCTGGATAATTTACCAGCATCATCTGAGTTTGATAGCTCTGTTATATGACTGTCTTTTTCTTTTATCTTTAGGAAGTAAGTATGTCACTACTCAAGATCATCTTCATAACGTCAACTTCCAGCCACATGGGATGTTTGAAATTCTAAGTTCTGTAAATTTAAGAGGTGTATTCTGAAGCCATGATGCTTTGCATGCCAATGAATAGATTGTCTTTTAAGGCTGTGTTGCCAAAAGAGTGTAAATGGAATAAACCATTATCAAACTATTGCTAAAATATCAGCTTTAAAATATAAAAGTGCAAAATCTTATTTTCTTCTTGTTTTGGATGAAGTACCCTAACCTGCTTATAGTTAGCAATGAAATTGTTTTTCTATGATATAATTTGTACATGTAAATTATTCCAATCACAGCATCGGCGCGTTAAAATAAGGTTTGGGCTGGTGGCCACAGTGGTGGAACTGGAAAGAAAACATTCTTCTTGAAACTTTTGTCATAAAAATGCTCATCTTTCAATATATCAAAGACATACTTAAATAAAACCTTCAAGCATCTTTAATGATGTCTGTTTGCACTTCTTCATGCCCCCATTCCTTCCAAACATCTCTTCTTCCTGAGCCTGAAGTCCACAACCCAACTCTGGTACCCAGGCATTGTTTCGTGTGGTTAACATTTTGAGCCAACTTTGGTCACTCATAATATTTTATATAAATGTATTGTTTTCTGGCTTCTCTGGAAAGATTAGGACATCAGGCAACATTAGACCCACAAAACAAATCTGTTCTGGAGATGAATACCAGCTGCCTCCTTTTGAAGAGTCACAGCTCATTATTGTGCCCCCTACACACACACACACACACACACACACACACACAGCCCCCCCACACACACACAAACTGCACACCCGCTCATATACCCACACCCATGTAATATACACAGTAGGCACTTTCCCCTGACCCACTTTACTTAGGCATCTCACTTGCCTGGCACCTGCTGACATTTAAGTAACCATCATGCCTTGTACCCTATCTCCCCATTCTGCATTGTCCAGAATGTTGGGCCAGTCTGATGTCGATTGCCATGCCAGACACTTTTGGCTTTTACATACAGCATTGCCAACTCCATTCCTCTCTTTTTTATTGAAACACTAGAGGCCCAGTGCACAAAATTAATACAAGGAACTCAGCCCCCACCGCAGCTGTGGCTTCATCTGGAAGGTCTTCCAGAAGGACGAATAGTCTAATTAGCATATTAGGCTTTTTTTATTAGAGATAATCAACATATAGCATTGTTTAAGTTGTACAATGAGCAAGTTTTATACATTTATTTATTGCAATATGATTACCACCTTAGTTTTAGCAAACCTATCAGGTCACATAATGATTATTTCTTCAGGGCATGAGAACATTTAAGTTGTGGTCTTCTAGCAAATTTTAAGTAAATAATACAGTGTTGTGGATTTTAATCACTATGCTCTGCATTAGATGGCAGAATTTACTCATCTTCTAGTTGCAAGTTTGTACCCTTTAAGAATGTCTCCCCACCGAAACCGGTTTGGTTCAGTGGATAGAGCGTTGGCCTGCAGACTGAAAGGTCCCAGGATTGATTCCGGTCAAGGGCATGTACCTGGGTTGCAGGCACATCCCCAGTAGGAGATGTGCAGGAGGCAGCTGATCGATGTTTCTCTCTCATCGATGTTTCTAACTCTCTATCTCTCTCCCTTCCTGTCTGTAAAAAATCAATAAAAAATAAAAAAAAAGAATGTCTCCCCAATTCCCCCACCCTTAGGCCCTGGTAACCACCATTCTACTCTCTGTTTCTATGAGTTTGGCTTTTTAGATTTCACATATAAGTGATATTATACAGTATTTGTTATTTTCTGTCAGGCTTATCTCACTAGGCATAATACCCTCAAAGTTCATTCATGTTGTTGGTAAATGGCAGAATTTTCTTCTTTCTCAGGGCTGAGCTGACAGAGCAAACCAACAGAAAAATCCATAAGATCTGATAAACTCAATCAACTAAATACACTTAACATTTATAGTATATTGCACCTAGGAAAAATAAAATTAATATTTTAAGTACACTTTAAATGTTTACCAAGATTGACTTATGCGGGATCAAAAATCAATAAATTTCAATTATTAAAATTATTTAGAGTATGATCTTTCACCCAGTGGAATTAAGCTAAAAACGAAAAAAAAAAAAAAAAAGATAACTTACATATTCACAACTGCTTGAAACTATGCAATGACTTCTATATAACCCATGGGTCAAAGAAGATATCATAGTAAAATAAAATTAAATACTTTCAAATTCTATGATAATGAAGATATAATAAATACAAACTGGAGATACAACTAAAGCAGTGCTTAAGGGTGAAAGATGGCTTTAAATACATTTGTTAGAAAAGAAGAAGTTAGAAAAACAATAGCGTAACTTTTTCTTCAAAAAATTGAAAAAAAGAACTTCAACTCTCAAACAGTAAACTAGAGGAAATGAAAAAGAAGAAAATAATGAAATACACAAAAATTGGCAATAAAAACGAAGAAAGCCAAAAGTTTGTTCTCTGACCAGATTAGTAAAATTAATAAGTTCCTAGAAAGACTAGGCAAGAAAAAGAAAAGACAGAAAAAGTTACCAGTATCCTATATAAAAAAAGGAAATATGCAAGTCAACTGAATGGCAGAATGACCAGTTGCCAGGGGGTGAGACCAGCGAGCAGGCTGAGCAAGGCCAGCCAAGGCACATGCCAAGGGGCAGAGGGAGGGAATGGCCTTGAGGGGGGGAGGAGGGCTGCAACCAGCAGCAATGGTGGAGGGGCAATAGGGGGGCCAGCACCATCCTCTGATAGGCCCATCTGGTTGCTTCCCCCAGAGGGAGGCTGGGTGGCAAAGGCAGGGTGATGGGGCGGCGCCATCCCCTGATTGCCTGTCCAGTCACCTCCTGCAGAGGGAGGCCAGACATCTGTAGGACATCCCCTGAGGACTCCCAGACTGTGA